TCACATTTGTGCGAGCTCTGTTTCTCTTTTAGACTGGATCAATTTTGTGTAGCTCAGGGTGGCCTTGAACTAACAGAGATCAGCCTGCCACTTTTCAGAGTGCTGGGATTAAAGGTGTGGGCCACCACTGCCTCGCCTCTATGGCAAACTAGTATGGCTAGCTTTGCACTTTGATCTTCAGGCAAGGTTTATTTGTTAGATGATAAACAAAATATCACCACAGAACTTAATATCCTTGGCAAGCTAATGCTCTCCAAGTGTGTGCGGTAGTGATCACATAATCTCACCACTCAGGACACTCAGCCAGGAAGATGACTGCAAGTTCAGGCCAGTTTGGGCTATAGTTAGTGCTGGGCCTGAAAGACTCACACAGTGAGACCCTGCCTCAGAAACCAAGGGCTGAAGCAGGTGTGGAAGGTTCTCAGGACCTGGTGAAGGGACTGGGGAGATGGCTCATCAGGTCCTTGCGGAGGACCTAAGGTTTGGTTTCCTGAACTCATAGCAGATGGCTCACAACTACTTATAATTCCAGCTCCAGAAGACCCAACACCCTCATCTGGTCTTCATGCATGCACGCGCACGCACAGATACACCAGCTGTTAGAGGGGCTGGGTTGCCACTCAGGAGGCAGAGTGCTTGCATAGCATGTGTGAGGCCCTGGATTCCACCCCCAGCCCCACATAAATAAGTGTATCGGAGCACACTTGTCATCCTAGGACTCAGGAGGTAGAGGTAGGAAGACCAGAAATTCAAAGTTGAAGCTGGAAATATGGCTCTGTGGTTAAGAGAACTGGCTTCTCTTGTAGAGCAATTGGATTCAATTCCCAGTACTCACATTTTGGCACACAACCATCTGTAACTCCGCTCCAGGGAATCCAAGACCTCTGCCAGAAACAGGTACACACGTGGTATGCATACATACTTGCTGACATTCACATATATAAATACAGATAAAGTGTTTTTAAAACCATGTCTATAAAAAAATGTTCAAGGCTATCTTTAGCTACACACAGTGAGTTGGAGCCCAACCTTGACTGTATAAGACCCTCCCAAAAGTACTGGATGCCAATTCCCACTTCCTCCACGCCAGGTGTGCTGTGGCATGTTAGTTATTTTCCTTCACCATCCTGTGGTGCCCAGGCTTGCTTCCCCCTCTCAGTATTTCAAAAGAGATCTATGGTAAATGTTGTCAGCCAAGGAAAAGGTCAAAGTTCAAGATCAGAGGCACACTTTCTGCTGCACCCCAGTTGCTCTTGCAACATATTTCAACCAGGAAACCCAGATGGTGGTCACTGGTGCACAGCTCAAAATGGTGAATAGTGGCAAGAATTCTTTTGTTCTTGTAGTTTGAGTCAGGGTTTCCTTGTGAAGCCCAGGCTAGTTTCGAAGTCACAAGGCTAGTTTTCAATTCACAGCAGTCCCCTTGTGTCAGCCTCCTGAATGCTAGAATGGCAGGCTTGAGCCACCACACCCAGCTGAATTAATGCCATTATAAAATGAGGAAGAGGGCTGGGAATGTAGCCTCCTGCAGAAATGTAATAAAGTCCTCTCTTTTCACGTGTGTGTGTGTGTGTGTGTGTGTGTGTGTGTGTGTGTGTGTCTACTATCATACTACAGCATTCCTTTGTAGGGGCAGAGGACAACTTTTGGGAGTTGGTTCTCTCCTACCATGTAGGTCCTGGGGGTGAAATTGGGTCATCAGTCTTAGCAGGAAGAGCCAGTGCCCCCTGTTGCACCCATTCTGATTGTTCATTGTTTTTGTTGTTGGGTTTTGTTTTTCTTGTATTTGTTTGTTTCTTAAAACAGGGTTTCCCTGTATAACTTTGGCTGTCCTTGGACTCACTCTGTAGACCACACTGGCTTCGAACTCACAGAGACCTATATATAGTTGGCATTTTCTTTGGGCTGCCAACCAGCTCCCAAACAAAGACATGGAGACTTATTAATTATGACAGCTTGGTCTTAGCTTAGGTTTGTTCCACTGACTCTTTTAACCTAATTTAACCTGTTTCTATTCATTATGTTTTGCCTGGGGCTTTTTACCTTTCTTTCATTCTGTATGTCCTACTTTCCTGCTTCTTCCGTGTCTGTCTGGCCCCTGGTGTCTCCCTGGCATCTTTTTCTTTCTCTCTCTTTTTTTCCCTCCCTTTCTTAAACTCCTCCTACTATTTATTCTCCCTGCCTGGAAGTCCTGCCTATACCTTCTTCCTCACTATTGGCCATCCAGCTTTTTCTTTTAAAGGTTTATTTATTTATTATGTACACAGTTTTCTGTCTGCATGTATCCCTGCAGGCCAGAAAAGGGCACAAGATCTCATTACAGATGGTTGTGAGCCACCATGGTTGCTGGGAATTGAACTCAGGACCTTTGGAAGAGCAGTACTCTTAACATCTGAGCCATCTCTCCAGCCTGGCCATCCAGCTTTTTATTAGTCCAGTCAGGTGCCTTAGGTAGGCAAGGTAAAACAGCAACACATCTTTACACAATTAAACAAATGCAACACACCTTTACATAGTTAAATAGATGCAATGCATCTTTGTATAGTTAAATAAATAGTCTGTAACAGAGATCCTCCTGCCTCTGCCTCCAGAGAGGTGGGATTATAGGTATATGCAACCACTGCCTGGCTTGTTTGTTTGATACAGGGTCTCACCATGTATTCTGGCTAGTATGGAACTTCCTATGTAGACCAGGCTAGTATTGAAACTCACAGCAACCCATCTGCCTCTGACTCTGAGTGCTGGAATCAAATGCATCCAAATGCCTACTTGTTGCTGGGTCCTAACGGCTCCCTCGGGGGAAGGCGTGAGAAGGTATGGTATAGACACCAGGAGTCTAGTGAAGCCAAACAGCAGACTGGTTTATTCAGCATTGAGGAGAGCCTGATAGATCCTCCCAGTACCTGGGTGGTCTGATGTGCTGATATTGAGAAGTCGCCTTCATTGGCCAGGCTGACTCATCTCTCGGCCTTAACACCTGATAAACACGGTTTATATGGTGCTATGGATTGAACCCACCCTTTGTGCATATTAGGTAGGCACTCACAACTAAGCCACATCTCCAGCCTTCCTTACATATCTTAGGTGGCAATCTGATATGATTTCATGTTAGGGAAATGCTGACACAATCAAGGTACTGACATACCCACCTCAACAAAGATTCCCAGGACCTTTCTTTTCTCTTTAGCAGGGATCGAACTGAGGGCCCCATGCAGGCTAAACCAGTGCTCCAACACTCATTTGCATCCCCTCCCTGCTGACTTCTCTTCCTCCCCTCCTCCCCCTCATCCGACTTTAAACCAGGTTGCATCCTCTCCCATTTTATATAAAAAGACAGCTTATTTTCTGCCCTCCATCCACCCTGGTCTGGTTTCTTTCTTTGAACTCTCATCAGTTAGGGCCAGGCATGACCATGTATGCCTGTAATCCCAGCACTTCGGAGGTGGAGACAGCACAGAGTAGCAGGTAAAGGTGTCTGCTGCCAGGACTGATGTCCTAAGTTCACATGTTAGAAGGAGAAAAGTGACTTTTGAAAGTTGTTGCCAGCCACCAGGTGTTGGTGGTGCACGCCTTCAATCCCAGCGCTCGGGAGGCAGAGGCAGGTGGATCTCTGTGAGTTCGAGGCCAGCCTGGTCTCCAGAGCAAGTGCCAGGATAGGCTCCAACACAGAGAAACCCTGTAGAAAGTTGTTGCCAGGCATTGATGCGCATGCCTTCAATCCCAGCAATGGGGAGGCAGAGGCAGGCGGATCTCTGAGTCCTGGTCTACAGAGTGAGTTTCAGGACATCCTGCAAAAACACAGAGAAACTCTGACTCAAAAAAAAAAAAAAAGTTGTCTTCTGCACACAGAAACAAATAAGTGTAATAAACTAACTAAATAGATAAGCAAATTCAGTGCAATCCTCTGCTACAAAGCTGGTAAGTTCAAGGCCAGCCTGGGCTACATGAGAACCTATCTCAAAATACCAAAATGATTTCTCTTTTATACTCTTACAGACACTCCACATTTTGCCCAGGAGGAAACTGAGGCACAGAGAATCACGACTTGCAGGAACTGGGGACAAGGATAGGGGTCACATTCCCAGGGTGCTGTCTGTTCTGAGTTGATGAACTCTATAGTTCACAAACTCTTTTGTTCTCTGAATCTGAGACTGGCCTCAAACTCTGAGTAGAAGAGGAGGAGGGTCTGCTCCTGTCTCTACCCGAGTGGTGGGATTGTTGGCGTGAACCACTAAACCCAGTTAATGGGGTTCTGGGAATGGAACACAGGGCCCCATGCATGCTAAGCAGGCCCTCTACCGGCTCAGCTCCACCCCTAGCAAGCTCAGTGTAAGAGCCTCCCAGCATTTGGGAGGCTGGGTCAGAAGGATGGCCAAGAGTTGGAGGCCAGACTAGCCTACACAGTGAGTTCTCTGCCCGGCCACTCAAATTTCACTGTAGCTGGGGTCACATCTTCCGGGTATGACACCTGGGGCTGGTCATGCCTATGAATGTCTTGAATATACTGAACTTGCTCCCCTCAAGCCGGAGAGGTCCAAGTGTTTCAAAACACTAGAAAAGGGCCTTCAATGGCTCAGCGGAACAAGGTGCTTGTTGCCAAGCCTGAGAACCTGAATTGGATCCTCGCCACCCTCAGAAGGAGAGGAGACTCCAGCAAGCCGCGCATATATATTCCAGCCCTCCAGAGGCAAGGCAAGCACCAGGTGTCTCACCCAGAAGATGTGACCTCCTCTGCAGTGGGGTTTGAGGAGCCGGGAGGGGGCTCTCGCTCTGGAGCGACAAAAAGCCCAGTGTCTGCAGCCTGAGGTCAGAACGAGTCCCTAGGCGTCAGGAGGGGACGTTGCAGGGAAGGGGCAACGGGCAATGAGCATGCCTTCCCGGGCTCAGATAAGGGCCGGCAGGGACTCGCTCGCGCCTGCGCGGTGAGATAAGGTGGGTGCGGTGAATCGAAGGGAGGTGGGCAAGTGCAGGGCGTGGCTTGCTGTATGACCACGCCCACTCGTATCCGGGTGCTTTGGGCCGCCAAGATGGCGCTCGTTATAGAAACCCGGGTTCCCGCAGGGGCCGCCGCCGGGCCCGGGAGCCCGGCACCGCGTACCGAGTAGCGCTGCTCTGGCCGCGGGGCTGCGCTCGGGCCCTCGCAGTCCCCCCGAGCTCAGGGAACACCCGCGTCCTTCCTCCCCGGCGCGTCCATGAACTCCGTGTCGCCTGCCGCGGCGCAGTACCGCAGCGGGAGCCCGGAGGACGCGCGCCGGCCCGAGGGTCGCCGACCGAGGGGACAGACCCGGGTCCCGGATCCCAACAGCCTGGGACCTTCGGGGTCAGGCGGGGCGGCGCTAGGCTCTACTGGAATCGACCCCTCCGAGCCTGACGAGGTGGACAAGTTCAAAGCCAAGTTCCTGACAGCCTGGAATAACGTCAAGTATGGTGAGCAGGGGTGCAGAGGTGGGTGTCAGGGGTCAGAGCGGAGCAGACCTACCCTTAACGACCCCACCCCGGGGAGTCACCGCAGGTCTTCCTCCCTGCTCAGTCCCGGACCTGGGACAGGTCGGATGGGAATCCTTTCCAAGCCCCGCCCATTGCTCCTGTTTGACCTTGGCCAGCTTTCTTGGTTTTCCTGCGGTCTGTTTACTCCCCTCCTAAAACAGGAGCAATAAGAACAGAGAGATAGCAGGTGGTGTGGTTCACACCTGTGATCCCAATGGAGAGGCTGAGGCAGGAGGATTGGTAAGAGTTTGAGGCTAGCCTGGGCTACATAATGAGTTCCAGGCTGACTTGAACTCCCCATGAGACTCTGCCTCTAAAAAGTTGTAAATGGTGGCTGGAGAGATGGTTCACAGGTTAAGAGCACTGGCTGCTCTTCCATATGACCGGGTTCAGTTCCCAGCACCCATATGGCAGCTCACAACTGTCTGTAACTCCAGTCCCAGAGATCCAACACCCTGACACAGACTTTCATGCAGGCAAAACTCCAATGCACCTTAAAAAAAAAAATCAGAAAAGGGCCAGTGAGATGCATCAGTGGTTAAAGGCACTGGCACCACACCTGAGGACTTCATGTCTATTCTGGTGGACCCACCAGAATAGTGGTGGGAGGGGAGAACGGACTCCTGCAAATTATCTACCTTCCAGACCCAAGGTGTGGCACTTATCCATACACATACACAGGTTCACACACAAAAAAATGAAATGGACTTAACACGTTTTACAACAGAAATCAACAGAATAGAATGACCCTGATTCCCCAACCCTTATAAAGTTGTGATTAAGTCCCACCTGTGTTTTAGACAGATGTGGCATGGATTTTGCCAGGCCCATTTCACTGTTGGGGAATGGAAGGCCCATTGCTGATACATGAGTGCTTTAAGTTGCTGGGAGCTGTCCCATGTCTTCTCCAGGTTGGGCAGTTAAAAGCCGGACCAGCTTCAGCAAGATCTCCAGTGTTCACCTTTGTGGACGACGCTACCATTTTGAGGGAGAGGGTGAGCTGTGTCCAATCTGGGACCAGGGCTGGGGAGTCTTGTAGGGTTCTTCTTGGTTGGCACGCTGACTAGTTGGCTCTCATAGGTGACATCCAGCGGTTTCAAAGAGACTTTGTATCTCGACTGTGGCTCACATATCGCCGGGACTTCCCACCCCTGGCTGGAGGCAGCCTGACCTCAGACTGTGGCTGGGGATGTATGTTACGAAGTGGTCAGATGATGCTGGCCCAGGGCCTGCTCCTGCATTTTCTGCCTAGAGGTGAGTGAGTGTGTGTGTGTGCACTTATGAGCAGACTGCAGGAATAGTGCCAGGCTTCTGGGTCAGCACTTTAAAATTGCTTTCAGACTGAGAAATTGGACAGTGTATTGGAACCCCAGCACACGAGAGGTTGAGGCATGGTTTTGAGCTATACTATCTAGTCTGGGTACATAGTAAGTTTCAGGCCTGTCAGGGATAAATAAGTGTGTGTGTGTAAAATGAGATTTCAGTCAGGCGTGGAGCAAGTGCCTGGGGACAGAAGTGCAAGGTTAGTTCCCTGGGCTACATGAGAATCTGTCTCAAAAAAACTAGATAAATAATTGAGGAATGAGCCACCATGCCTTAACCCCAGAACTCGGGAGGGAGAGGCAGGTGAATCTGTGGGAATTTGAGATGTCTGGTCTACAGAGTGAGTTCCAGGACAGCCAAGGCTACAGTAGAGAGAAACCCTGTTTTGAAAAACCAAAATAGATAAATAATTAGGAATTAGAGATATGGCTCAGCTGTTAAGATCATTTGGTGCTCTTGCAGAGGACTCAGGTTTGATTCCCAGTACCAGTGTGATACCTCACACCCGTAGGTAGCTGCAGTTTCTGGGATCTGACACCCTCTTCTGGTTTCACTGAGTACCAGGCATTCACAAAGCTCTTAAATACTTGGAGGCAAAACACTCTTGCACATAGGCTAAAAGTAAATTTTTATTTAAAAAACAAGTTTTATGTGTTTCACCATGGTAGAATCAATTTGGAATTCACACGAGTATTAGAATTATCTGTCAAATAAGAGGAAGTAGGGAAGTTGTCCCCCAAACACCCTACAGGTTTTAACTACAAATTTATCTCTTCTGTAGACTGGAGGTGGGTGGAGGGCACAGGACTGGCTCCCCCTGAGATGCCAGGGCCAGCCTCTCCCAGCCGTTATCGGGGGCCTGGTCGTCATGTGCCCCCACGATGGACCCAGGGTACACTGGAGATGGAGCAGGACCGATGGCACCGGCGGATTGTGTCCTGGTTTGCTGACCATCCCCAGGCCCCCTTTGGGCTACATCGGCTAGTGGAGCTTGGGCAGAGCTCTGGCAAGAAGGCAGGAGACTGGTACGGGCCCTCTGTGGTGGCACACATCCTCAGGTAAGATCTGCTTTGGGGCAAATGGGGCTGCTAGTGACACCAGGGACTCAAGGCTATCTGCTTTCCTGCCCCCAGGAAAGCTGTGGAGAAGTGCTCGGAGGTCCCCCGCCTGGTGGTGTACGTCTCTCAGGACTGCACAGGTGAGGCTGGGAGCAGACTTTTACCTGGAGCCAGTGCTACCTAAGGGAGGTCCCCATTCCTCAGGGGCAGACACAAGTTCTGGGGTGAAAGGACACTTGAATCTAGATTCTAGGCACAAACTGTGGCGGTATAGTCAGGGTTCCCTCTGCTGTAGATCCCAGAAAGTCAAAATGAGGGTTTCAAGAGAGGAGACCTCTTCACCCCTCTTCATGCCTCACTTTAACAAACAACAAACTACATTTATTTCTTTGTGCTTAGAGTGGGAAGTCTGTGTCATGGTGCACATAACATTGTGGGGAAGTGGGTATTCTCCTGTGGGTTCCAGAGATCAAACTTGGGTCATCATGGGTGGCATCAGGTGTCGGCAAGTCTGGGCTTCTCAGGCTCATCAGGTGTCAGAGGGTTTAGTGACTCAGTGATCCAAAAAATACTGGGTCAGCAAGATGGCTCAGTGAGTGAAGGCCTGCACTTGCTGCAGAAGCCTGGCAGCCTGAGTCTGAACCCTGCAGCTAACTTTCTCCAACCTCCAGTTGTATGCTGTGGCATGCACACTCCTGTCATGGTACACACAGACACATAATACCTGCAATTTTTACAAAAGGGTCAGATAAGGGGTGGTGGTGGCACACACCTTTAATCCCAGCACTCGAGCGACAGAGGCAAGTGGATCTCTGAGTTTGAGTCCAGCCTGGTCGGCAGAGTGAGTTCCAGGACAGCCATAGCTACATACAATGAAATCCTGTCTCAAAAAACAAAACAAACAGACTAAAGGGCCAGACAGAGAAAGGCTAATTTGGCATTGTTTTTTGCTGCTGAACCTGATGAAATGGATTAGATTGCTGAATCCCTGTGGTTGAAGGAGAAAATACATACAAATAAATAAAAAAAGTGATCACAGCAGAATGACCAAATGTTACCTATGCTTTCTTCCAGGTCAGCTTTGTTGAGGTAGGGTCTCTTGTAGCTCAGGCTGGCCTCAAAGCCATTATGTAAGAGCTATGAGAATAACTGGATCTCCAGATTCTCCTGTGTGTAGAGGATTGCAGTTAAAGGGAGCTTTTGGGCTGGGAGTTATGGCTCGCCTTTAATCCTAATGTTTGAGGCAAAAGCAGGCAGATCTGTGTGAGTTGTTGGCCAGCCTGGTCTACAGGTCTACATCATGAGTTTCAGGACAGGCAGAGCTACAAAGCCAGACCCTGTCTCAAAAAAAAAAAAAAAAAAAAAAAAAAAAAGAGCAGTGGGCAGTGGTGCATCCTACATTCTTTTAGGCAAGTGGATCTCTGGGAGTTCGTGGCCAGTATGGTTTACAGAGCAAGTTCTAGGAGAGCCAGGGCTGTTACACAGGAAACCCTGTCTCTAAAAAGCAAACAAACAAAAACAAAAAGGGGGGTGCTTTTGTGTGGGGGTGAGGAGGTAGCTTAGTTATTTGCAAAGAACTGAAGAACTGAGTTCCTAGGCATGGTAGCAGGTTCAGATGAGGCAATCCCTGGGGCTCTCTGCCAGCTAGCCTAGCCTATGTCCTAGGCCTCAGGCCAGCGAGAGACCCTCTCTCAAAAACCAAGCTGGAGTATGGATAAAGGACAATATTCAAGATTGCCCTCTCACCTCAAGAGTCCATGCACAGCCATGTATACCCATATGCACATAAATATGTACTTATCCACCCACACACAAAGGGCTGGGGGTGTAATTTACTGGCAAAGAGTGTACACTGACACAAAGGTCTGAAATGGATCACCAGCACCACAAGCAACAGTTTAAAATGAGGTATGCTCAGAATCCCCGCTTACTGGATTATGGCTCAGCTGGTAGAGTAATTCCCTGGCATGCATAAAGCCTTGGGTGTCATTCGCAATGAACATTGTGTAAGCCCGGTTGGTGGCACATATCTGCAGAGGTAGAGGCAGGATCATCAGGCCTCACAGTTGTCATGGCTACATAGACTTCTAGGCCACTCTGGGACACACCAGCTCCTTAGGTCTTCACTCACCCTTTTTATTAATGCCTGGAGGCCCCAGGATTGTCCAGGACTAGGAATGTAGTAGGAAGACATTCTTTGCTGATGAGGAGGACAGCATGGTTTACCAAGAGTTGCAGGTGTGATGACGCACTTCTAGGGCAAGAAGTGTAGAAAGGTCATCTGCTGCCCTGTCCCCACAGTGTACAAGGCAGACGTGGCACGTCTGGTGTCCTGGCCAGATCCCACAGCAGAGTGGAAATCTGTGGTCATCCTGGTGCCTGTGCGACTGGGTGGTGAGACCCTAAACCCTGTGTATGTGCCCTGTGTGAAGGTAAGCACCTCCTGGTGTGGCACCTCTGCCTGGGCCCTCCACACTTAACAGTCAGGAGTCAACCATGGGTGTCATTCTTCCGACCTGTGTGTGCATAGTGCGTGCGTGTGCGTGTGGTCACATGTTCTCTGTGCCTGTATAAGTGTATGTGGTGCACACACTGTGTATATGCACATGCAAAGGTGAGAGAAGACTCGGGGTACCTATTCTGTCACTCTGCTTTATTCTTTTGTGACAAAGTCTCTCACAGAGTCTCTAGCCTTGGAGCTAGGATGGCAGCCAGCAGTCCACAGTGACACCCCATTTCTGCCCCCCAGTATAGTACTGGGCTACAGGCATGTGTGGCCATGCCCAGCTTTTTATATAGGTACTGTTTTGAACTCATGTCCTTGTGTTTGGTCAGCAAATGTTCTTATCATTTGAGTCATCTCCCCAGCCCCACCCACCTTGTTTTATGAGACAATTATAGTCACATGCTACCTTGCTTATTGACATAGGTTCTGGGGATTGAACCCAGGTCCTCATACTGGGCACTACCCACTAGTGACACAGCTGCAACAGGTCCATTCACTGTCCTGGGGACTGGGGTTCAGTCACAGTGAAATGAGCCAAAACTCAGAGAATGTTGAGTAGAGTGGACACTCTATTTGAGAACAAGCTGGAATGTTCTGGAAGACTGGGGAAGGAGTACAAGGTGGAGCTCTGTGCCAGGTTGCACACTCACACTTGAGTTTAATCCCCAGCACTTAAATCCACAGTCTTATTAAAAACAGACCTGAAGCCAGGGGTGGTGGTGATGCACGCTTTAATCACACCCAGAGGCAGAGGCAGGCAGATCTCTCTGAGTTTGAGGCCAGCCTGGTCTACAGAGTGAGTTGCAGGATAGCCAGGACTGTTACACAGAGAGAAACCCTGTCTGGGGGGTGGGGGAGTTTGGCACTTCAATCTGGACTTCAAAGGCAGGTTCCAGTGGAGCCAGAGGAAAGCCCCTCCTTGGCCTTCTAGAAGTCAGATGAGAAGCTAGAGAAGTGTCTCAGGGAAAGGGGACAGACAGCATGACAGGCTCAGGGGAAAGCCCCTGGCATGTTTTCACTCAGATAGTTTTCCACTATCTTGGAAAAAATAAGGTAAAATGTGTTTTTTTTAGAGCAGTAGTTACCAACCTGTGAGTCTTGACCCATTTGGGGGTTGTCACAGGGTCACTTAAGACCATGGGAAAACACGGATATTTACATAACAAAATTAGTTAGGAAGTAGCAATGAAAATAATGTTATGGTTGGGGTCACCCAACATGAGGAGCTGTGTTAGAGGGTTGCAGCGTTAGAAAGGTTAGAGATGCTCAGTGGATAGAAGGGAACACTCCTCTTGGAAAGGACAAGAGTTTAATTCATAGCACACATGAGTTGCTCACAACTACCTATAAAGCTCCAGGGATCTGATACCCTCCTTTTCACACACTGCACTCAGGTGCACAGACCCCACACAGATGCACACATAGGTGGGCTCTTCCTTTAATCCCAGCACTTAGGAGGCAGAGGCAGGTAGATGTTTTGAGTTTGAGGCCAGCGTCGTCTACACAGTGAGTTCCAGGATAGCGATGACTACATAGTGAGACCCTATCAGAAAAACAAAAAAATTAAATTAAAAAGATATGTAGCCATTTCTATAAAGTCTCCACACCTGACAGCTAAGTTACTGCTCTAGAATGTCAGTGCCATCAGGCTGGGAGGGTTAGCATGATGGCTGCTCACTGGGTTCCCTGGCTTCATAGACTCCCAGACCTGCTCAGTTTGCTGACCTATCTGATGCCAGCTTTCCCCTCTACAGGAGCTCCTTCGGTCAGAACTCTGCCTGGGTATCATGGGGGGCAAGCCCCGGCACTCACTGTACTTCATTGGCTACCAGGGTAAGCCCCATCCCTTCCTGGGTCACAGCCCTCTGCCTTCTTACCCTCCCCAGTTACAGCTGCCCCCAACCCCCCACAGATGATTTCCTGCTCTACTTGGATCCCCACTACTGCCAGCCCACAGTGGATGTCAGCCAGGCTGACTTTCCCCTTGAGGTGAGCTGGTGGCTTTGGGGTGGGAGCTGCAGGCATAGGCACAAAATTGGGGTGCCTCAAACCTCTCTTATCTGCCTAGTCCTTTCACTGCACCTCGCCCCGCAAGATGGCCTTTGCCAAGATGGACCCCAGCTGTACTATAGGGTTCTACGCTGGGAACAGGAAGGAGTTTGAGACTCTCTGCTCGGAGCTGATGAGGGTAAGCTATGATCATGGGGGTATGTCTTAGTGGTTGAGTCCCTGCCTACCATGTGCTAGACAGACACTGTGTCCCACCCACATTCCTGGGACAGTAACACGCTACCCATGCTTGACAATGGAAGGGGACATCAAGGTGGACTTCAGTCAAGATTATTTTGTCCACCACCAGGAAGCTCAACCCAGAAGAGAGCAAAATGAAGGGTGCCTGAAAAGCTTGGGCCACTGCTGGGAGGGCTATCTCTCCTCTCTCCTCTCAAGTTCCAGAGCAGCTAGCTGTTCACAGGCTGGACAGTTAGTTGTGCATTGTCCAACTGCAGCTGATTCTGGAGTACCCTGAACTGAGACCTCTCTCTCCCCATCCTTCTGCAGATCCTCAGCTCCTCCTCAGTCACGGAGCGATACCCCATGTTCACTGTGGCTGAGGGCCACGCTCAGGACCACAGCCTGGACGCCCTCTGCACCCAGCTCTCCCAGCCTGCACTGCGGCTGCCTTGCTCAGGACGCCTCCTGAAGTCAAAACGGCCCAGCTCTGAGGACTTTGTGTTTTTATAGTGGGAAGGGATGGGGAAAGATGCCAGACTATTTATTTTTTTATTTATGTCGTGTCAGGTATGGGATCTGGAACTCCAATGGCAGTGCTGGATCCCTGTCCTCATGTCCCCCATCCTCCCCAATACAGCCAGACCTGGCTAGGCCCCCAGCTTGGGGCTGTGCCCTTTAGCTGCCCCCACTTCCCCTCAGGAGCCAGGGATGGAGAGTGGGCTCCAGGGCACTTACTCAGGGCCTGATTCAAGTTCTGTAGCCTGCACTGGATCATTGTACTCACTGGTCCCAAGGTCCTAAAGCCCCTATCCTGGGAGAACTGACTGCTGCTGGGTGGAGGCTGATAAAGACAGACTTGAACACGCTGAAGTTGTTTGACTTTTCAGGCTGTCTTATGCACAGCTCCGACAGCCTGTTGCTACACTGAGCAGACAGCCAGCATTCTTGCCTGCAGGCAGATCACACAGGCAACAGCTTGGTTGTGGAGGTAGCCTGGCTCCCTGTGGCCCTCAAGGGTTGCTCTGCTGTTTCCTCCTTTGGCGACCCAACTGGCGGAAGTGCAGCCTTTTGGGGTTGAGACCAAATGCCTGCAATCTCTGTCGGCTGAACTTGTGACCTCCAAGTGTCACCGTGGGACCCAGCAGCCTGGCCTTCTTGCTCTTCTGCCTCTGGGAAGTTGGCTTCTCTGGGTAGGATGTGTGTGCCAACTCTTCTTCCTTGGCCACATGGGTCTCAGACTGAGGCCTCTTCCCACAGGCTCCATTTGGCACAGGAAGCTGTGCCTGTGGGCTGGCCTTGCCCTGTGACTTCCCTGTGGCTTCTGTGGGCATTTCCATCCTACAGGAGAAAAAGTCAAAGTTCAGGTCAGCTTGCTGTTCACAACAGGCAATGGAACCTCTACCCCCCTTTTTTTCTTTGTTTGAGGAGGGTCTTGTGTAGCCCAAGTTAGCCTCAAACTCTGTGTACCCAAGAATGCACTTTAACTCCTGAGCCTGCCTGTTTTTTAGGGGTGAGGTATTGAAACAGTCTCACTAATATAGCTCTGCTGTCCCTGAGCTCACTGTAGACCACACTGGCCTTGAACTCAGATTCATCTGGTTTATACAGTGTTGGAATAGAGCCCAGGGCTTTATACATGTCAGTAAGCACCCTGCCCCAGCCCATTTTGTTAAGATACAGTCTCACTATGAAACCCGATGGCCTCAGCTTCCTGAGATAACTGGTATGACAGCTACAAATTAGCTGGGCCAGCTGAACCCACTTATGTCAGTCAGCTCCTTGTAACTTGAGTGCAGTTACAGTGGGAAGGAATGACAGTCACCCTTGTAACAGCCGACAAGCCTGTAAGGGACTTCTAAGATTATCTGATCAGGCTTTGGATGAAACTCGCCTTCAATCATGCTAAACAGTGTCACCAGGTGTGGTAGTGTACACCTTCATTGCCAGCTCTTGTGAGACAGATGGAAAGCTCTGTGAGTTTGAGGCCATCCTGGATTATGTAGGGAGCTCCAAGTCAGCCAGGACTACACAGGCCCAGTCTTAAACAAAATAAGCACAATCTTCACCCCATGACAAACTGTTGCTGTGCAGTCCGGGCTGGTTTCAAACTCATAAACCCTGCCTCTGTCTCCCTAGTGCTTGGAATACATGTGTGTGCCACCATGTCCAGGTCCCTCGACCCTTATTCTGAGTGTTTCATGCACGTTAATCTTTGAAGTCTGAACCATAAATTCACCTTACTGAGAGGGACCGTGACTGGCCTAAAGATGACACAGCTGGGTGTCAGCTAGCTGGGCCAATGCCATCCTCCCCAGGGCCCAGTGCTTACTCTTCCCCGCACAGAGATTTGAAGATCTGCCTCTTCTTCCACAAGTTCTGGGCCTTCTGGCTGTATGCCCGCTTCTCCTGCATCTCTTCCTGCTCTGACCTGTATGTCAGAGGTGTTCCAGAAGCTGTCCAAACAGTTTCCCCCATCCCCATCCCCATCCCCCTCCCTGCTGTCACCTGTACATGCAGGTCTTCTTCAGGGAACACCAACGGTTCAGTTCCTTGTCATCAGCTGCAAGGATCTGCATGGGAAAGAAGGTATCTACTGTTGTCCCGGGGTTTACCTTTGAGCCTCAGTTTCCCCTGTTTTTGAGGCAGGTTTGTTCTTGTGTAGCCCAAACTAGCCTTGGATTTCCTGATTCTCTTGCTTGTACCACCATGCTGGGCTCTTTTTTTGGAAGTGACCGTATAGCTCAGGCTAGCTTGTAATTCACAGTAATGCCCTACCCACCTCAGCCTCTCTGGTGCCAGCCTACATGAGCACCATTTCAACTCTTCCTAGTTAAAATCCAGGCCTTCTAGCCTCTCCAGAGAATATTCACCTCCTCCCATTCTCTGGGCGCCTCTACTTTCCCTGCCTGTCCTGGTCCTAACCTCCTCGGTGCTGAGCCCGAAGTCACAGGGCACCACAGTACGGTATTTGAATCGACAGGGCAGGTCGTCGATGATATCCTCATAGTCCAGCCGGTAGTACTCATCCAGGTACTCCTCAAAGGTCTTGTCCTCTGCACAGGAGATATAGCCAGGGTATTGTGTGTTCAAGGACCCATGAGCTATGCTTCCACGCTGCCCATCATGCCTTGTGCCTCACCAGGGTCAAACATGGGCTTCTGCTGTCCCACTGCAGCTGCAAAGGGAGACTTGCGCTTCTTCTTCCCTGAGGAGGGCGCCTCACGAAGCTTCTTCTGAGGTTGGCTGGGGTCATAGTCTGCGTCCATCTATCAGGAAGTGCTGGTCAGGTCAGGCTAGTGCTAAACGCCTTCTGCAGGCTCCAGACCCAGACCAGTGTTCTTAAGGTCCCACAGCCCTTGCTGTCCTCAAACATGCTAGGTAGCCAAGCCTTGAGCTCCATCTCCTTTGATGCTGAGATAGAGCACAGGGCTTTGTTCATGGTGGCTCTGCTCTGCCAACTGTACCCTACTTGGAGCTCAGACCAGTGGCACTCACGTTAAAGTCGGGGTCCTCACAGTGCGGCTCCTGCTGGCTCCAGGCTCCATCTTGCTTAGGTCCGCTCCATGTGTCCCAGTTCCAGTCATCTGGTTACAGAAGGCAGACAAAGTGAGGACAGCATGTGGGCTACACACCAGAGCCCTGGGCCCCCAGCTTTGTAAGGACAAGCACCTTCGAGCCCTTCCTCTTCCTCAAAGTGTGGCTTCTCTTCCTCCGCAGTGCCATAGAAGCCATCTCCAAGGCATTTCTGTAAGGGAAGGCCAGGTCTAAGGGCAACAGTACCTGCAGGCTTACAGGAGCTCAGCTGTCCCATGCGAACACCAGCATGACTCTCCATCCTACTGTTTGCTTTTATGAGACAGGCTTTCATGTAGGCCAGGCTAGCCTCTAACTCACTATGCAGTAGAAGCTAGCCTTGTGTGCTGTTATATGATACATTTGCCCCAACCTCCTGAGTACAGGGATTACAGGTATGTGAATGGCAGTTTTTTGCTTTTACTGAGACAGTCTTTTAGCCCAGGCTAGTGATCCTTCTGCCTCAGATTCCTAAGTGATGGGATTATAAACCCAAGCCAACATGCTCAACTTTGTGTGGCTCCTGAGCCTCCCAAGACCTAGCTCCTTGAAAGGGCCTCCACATTGTTGCCTGCTGTCTAGGTTGCATTTTACACCACATCACTGTGTTCTAGCTCTACAGGATGCAGGCCCTGCTATTATCTATCATCTGTGCCCCATCACCTATGACCTACTCATTAGTCAGGACTCAATTGAGCTGTCATCATTGGTAATGGGCAGAGAGGAAGTCTCCTCTAAGATCCTATCTACATTGGATATGGTATACACCTATACTTAACACCACGGAGGCTGAGCCAGGGGGATAAGTAGCAGGCTAGCCTGGGCTACAGAATGAGGCTGGGGCTCAGGTGGCAGGGTGCTGTCCCAGCACACACAAAGCTCTAGCACCATTCCTAACACTCTAATCCACATCTGGGACCACAGCTGCAATCCTAGTCCAGGGAGGCGAAGGCCACATATCCTCACTACCCTAATCCCCGAGTCTGTAAGGATGAGTCAGGCATAGTGCAGGCTCTTGATGACAAAGAGGCTAGGACTAGGCACCCTGAATTCCAAGAAGGGCACTGGAGAAGCTCTGCCATCTACTGGGGGCATGGCAAAGGAAAGCATTTTAGTCTTTAGTTTTTACTCTATGTGGGGGTGTTTTGCCTGAATGTATGCCTACCCCACATGCATGCCTGGTACTCCTGGAGGTCAGAAGAGAGCATCAGATTCCCTGGACTGGAGTTCCAGACAGCTGTAACTGTGGCGATACAGTGATGGGTAACGTGGGTGATAGGAATTGAACCTGGGTCCTCTGGAAGACCAGCCAGTGCTCTTAACCCCTGAGCCATCTCTAGGTTTTTCTGTGTATTTATTAAACAACTTCTATATGCTCAACCCCGAGCAGCTTCTTGCTGTGATTCTTACAGCCACCATGAGCAACAGCAACTGCTCTTCTTCTCTATTGAGAAACCAAAGCTAGGACCCAAGAAGCTCCTAAAAGAATAAGAAAGCAGACACCTCGGGAGCTGGAGAGGGGGCTCTGTAATTAAGAGCACTGGCTACCCTTCTGAAGGTCCTGAATTCAATTGCCCCCAAACCACATGGTGGCTCACAACAATCTATAATGAAATCTGGTGCCCTCTTCTGGCCTCCACGCATGCATGCAGGCAGAACAATAAATACATAACACAAATAACTATTTTTTTAAAAAAAGCAGGTATCTCCACAGTGCTCCCCAACTGTTTTTACCAAGCTTACCAATGCACCCTTCAGTCTCCTTCCATGACTTCCTAGGCTTGGCTAGTGGCCTCTTTGGGGCATGTCACAGTGCCAAAACTTTTTTTTTCTTCACCATTGAGACGGTTTCTCTGGTTTCTCTGGGACAGCCCTGGCTGTCCTGGAACTTACTGTGTACACCAGGCTGGCCTTGAACTCACAGAGATCTGCCTACCTCTCCCTCCCAAGTGCTGGAATTAAAGGCGTGCGCTAACACCACTTGGCTCCAAACCTTTTCTTACAGATCTCTCAGTACCTGTTTACAAAGCATGATGTTCTCTCAATATAACAAATGTTAATGGCTCAGAAAATGAGCTGAAGGGCTAGGCTCAGTTGTAGTACTTATGCAAGGTTCAATAGTTCTATCCCTATGTCACCAAAAATACACAGGAACAAAAACTCAAAAACTGGTGAGATGGCTCGGCAGATAGAAGCACTTTAGTATGATCGATGGAACCCACACTAGAGATGCCATGGAACACATGACACCCCCAACACGTAAATGTTAAAACACATTTACAGTGAACAAATT